ACACACACACAATAGCCTAGATGAATTAACCTTGCTGGCTTCACCCACAAGTCAGCTCACTGCAGTCCTGCAATGCACAGAGAAAAACACAGAGACATTGTTGAATTTCCTTCATTAGGCCCTAGAGATTGATTCTCCTGGGGAGCTGGACCTTGGAGGAAAGGCTCCACCTGCAGCTCCAGTTCTGGCTCAACTACTCACTGAGAGGAAAACCACGGCAGGCGCTTCACGGACTGACTCGGTTTCCCCCTCCAGGAGGGGGCAAGGACATTTTCCTGCCAATCTTTCAGTATTGGAGAGAAAAACTTATTTGGTAAAAACTGCCTAACTAAAAGGCATTTTTATTCCCATGCTACCTTAAAATCACATATGGTCTGTACGTGTGTATCAATCACGACATCCTGATTTAACATAGTTTATTAAATTAGCAAGTGCCTCGTTCTGGAAGAGAGGGTTTCTGATTTTGCAACGTTGGAGGTGGGGCGAGTCGGAAAGCTGGGGATGGGGAATGGTGTGGGTGAGTCCTAGAGAACTTCGGGCAAATCTGCAGGCCTCGTTCCTGCTGGGCCCCTCAGGGGGTGCAGATGTCATCACCCTGCCTTTCTGCTCCAACGCCAGTGGCTGCCCTCACGGGAACCGCAGCGGACAAATAGCAGCGGGGGCACAGCCAGGAGTCCGGAAACAGAGCGAGCCCCTCTGCTGAGCGTCAGTGAACGCCGCAACACATCCCTTCGCGGGGCGTCCTGGGGCTTCCTGGCCATACCACTTCATCCCCGAAAACTCCGTGCTATCAACTCACCCAACGTGAATACCGTGAAGGACCCGGGGGGACGGGAAGATGGGGGCCCAAAGAGTGGGTCTCAGGCTCAGCCTTGCTGCCTCCTTCCTCGAACCTCCCTATGCGAGGCGCGGACGTCCAGCCGCCAGCAGCCGGCAACCCAGCCCCACCCTTCAGCGTCTACACCCGCCGTTCCACCGGCGCAGGGCGAGCCGGCGGGCAACTGGACACCAGAACCGCGACGGGGCGGTCAAGCAGCCGCGCCCCAGACCCAGACGGCTCGGAATCCAAAACACACCCGCACACACGCGCGCGCACGCCGGCCAATCCCTCCTCACGGAGTCGGAAGGCGCTTCCACAGCTCTCCATTCATTCCCCCAAAGGCGAGGTTCCTTTGGCCCGGGCGCCTCCATCCCGCGTTTCCAGGGGGCTCCGAGGGGCCCAACTGCACCACGACACCCCCCCACACACCCTCCCACAGCCACCGCGTCCTCTCCACCCGCATACACAACCCCACAGATTCGCGCTCCACCACGATCGCCAGCGTCGCCCCCGCGCAGGGGCCGCTGCCACCCCGGCTCCCCATAGCTTCGTTGCCCTCAGCCCCTGCTCCCCGCCGCCCCGCCGCGCCGCTCAGACCTGCCGCGCTCTGCTCGCAGCGCCCAGGCCGACCGGGGTCGCCGAGCCGCCGCTGGGAAGTGCCGGCAACTCCGGAGTCCTGCCGCCTCCCGAACCGCCGCGGGGCGCAGGGAGGGGACTGGGGACGGATGGCGAAGAGGAAGGAGAAGGTGCGGGAGCAAAAGTTCAGGCCTCTCGGGCCCCAGCCGCGTCGGCGCCTGGGACTCCCCCCATCCTCGCCTTCTCTGTCCAGAACGGGAGCGGGACTGGAGCCAGGGGTCGGGGGGTGGCTCCGAGCCACAGGAGGGGAGAGTGACAGATGCCCATCTACCTGCCTCGGGCAGCGCCTGGAAACTTCCCCA